AAGATTGAAACAATAACATGTCATGTGTAGATGTTACTTTGGTATTAAGTTGTTATAATAAAGAAATTGAAAGAGAGGAATGGGCAGAGAATAGAGTGAATGAGAAATCGGATAGATTCATTTCGAATGATCGATAATTATTACAAGTATATATCGAAAACACTGTAATTGGATTTACTCGATATTTGTACATAATAAACTATAACGATTTCTCACACACATATTGGCGATAGTTACGTTTAACATACGTGTAGATTATATGAGCATTGGATCCATGGTTGTGGGTTATTATTGATCGACGACGAAAAATTGATTTCGCGCGTTCGAAGGATCAAGCCAGCCCGTTCACAAATATTCAAATCGTACTTAATATTCCGTGCCAATTTTTTGCACACACATTGTCAATGGATACTATTAACATGTACGTGAATTATGTGAGCATTGGGTTCTTGGTTGTTGTGTGATTAGCGATTGACGACGAAAATTGATTTCGCGTGTTTGAAGAATCAAGCGAATCGTTATAATTATAATATACATATAATATACAATATATACCAATCTCAATTTCGCAATACACTGTCATAATATGGAGATAGTAAATGAAAGAGGTTAGACAGAAGCACATTTCTTCATTATTCTTCATAACTATGTTTTCGCAAGGGAAAATACTGTAATGAGAGGTTACATGGTAATGTAACCGTTATATTACTGACAGCCAAGACAGTTGGTACGTGCATAAACTCTTGGTAGTAGCAAGTTGTATTTCAAAGCATATAATAATAATAATAAGGAAAACTTCAATAGCCCGAATGGTCTCAGATTTCGCATTCCCTCTCGCTTTACCCACATATGTATTACTTACGGAATCTTCTTTCCCTCATCTCTCCAAAAGTTGCTGTAATAAACGAAAACTCTGAATAGTTCTATTCGTGAACAACTTCTTAATCGTTACCGCTTGTTTTCATTCAGTTGTCTCAACAAACTAAACGAGAATCTGTTATACGACGCTTTACATGAGCGTTTGCCGTTGTTAATAGGCGAAACGTATTTTAACATGCAAACACCCAAAGACTACTAATAAAGCATCTTTACTGTCATAAGACATTTTGAAGCAGTTTATATTCACATTCTAAAACGAAAAAAAACTGGCGTTAACTGAAGGAAGATCTTAATGTTTGTATGAAAAAAGTAGACGTTTTCAGGTCTAAGCAAAGTTAACGCAGAGTGAAGCAACGAAGACTTTTTTGGTATGTAACGAGAGCTCAAAAGGCGAAGATTCAAATTTGTATTAGGTCAATGTTGTCGCAGTGGAGCTATTTTGGCATCTCACGTTACACTAAAAATTTACTTATGAAAATGATTCGAGGGGACTATTATCCGGACACGTCACACAGCCGTACACCATCTATGGAAGAAGCATCCCATGAAAGGGATAACTTATTGAGCCTGTACAATGTGGCGGGTGTGCGACATGACAGGTAAATTCCCGATTAACGTTTAGTTCGTGTGACGGCTCGAGCATAAGAGAGTTTTTCAACCGCCCCCAAGAAACAATATCTTGAAGCCAACATTAATGAAGATGGACAAGAAATGGCTAGATAAAATATGCGAAGACGGAATAGTCAGGTGTTATTTAGAAAGTGAAATGTTAAACCGTTCGTTTGTCGGCCACGGTGGGTTCGGGGTTGTGTTCAAAGCACAGTTGAAGTACACAGACATAACCGTCGCAATGAAGACGTTATCTCTGAATACGTATAGCAATGAGCAAGAACTGTACAAGAAGTTTGTCAAGGAGGTTTGTGTTATTATCGCTGTTACTGTTAATGGTTAGCAGTTGTCACTCGGTAAATCACTATCTGAAATCGGATCTTGTGTAGTTGAAAACTCATAAGAAAGTGGATGACCATCCGAACATTATCCGATTTTTAGGATTATGCAAAGGTCAGTACATCAAGGCGAGTTAAATGTAAACAATAAACCATTGTATAATTACGACTTATCTCACCTTAAATATGAGTAGACACTTCTCACCATTATCACATGGTTTTTGAATTCGCTGACGGCGGAAATCTGTGTACACATCTAGCACGGCATTTTGCTGATTTAACATGGAAAGAAAAGTACAAATTGGGTCTGGACATTGCAAATGGGTTAAGATATTTACATGTGCTTGATATTGTTCATAAAGATTTGGTAATGTATTATTATTATTATTATTTATGCATATGAGATAATTATAATGATTGAATTATGATTATAGTAATAGTAATGCATCATTATCATATTACTTGTATAGTCTGCTGCAAACATTCTTATTCAAGGCAGTGTTGCAAAAATAACTGATTTTGGGTTGTCTAGCATGTTAAAAACAAAGTATCTACATCAAGAGGTGAAGGCAGTACAGCATATATTGACCCAGTCACTTTTCAAAATGAGTCATATACACGAGGGATAAAATCAGATGTATTTAGTCTTGGAGTAATATTGTGGGAGATATCCAGTGGGAAGAGTCCATGTGAGGGAAAAGTTCAAAGTTTTGAAATTGTTTTATATAGAATGAAAGGTTTAAGAGATTCACCTTCTCCAGGAACATCAAGAGGGTACATTGAACTATATTCTAAATGTTGGGACAATGATCCTAACAAAAGACCATCGAGTGAAGAAGTATATAAGCAGTTAATGTATTTGCAAGATAATAATAAGCCATTAACTTTGCGTAAAACATTGAACTTGAGTCATTATAGTTTAAGAGATACAGGAGCAGCAGATTTGGCAAAGGCACTAGAATCAAATTTTTCCCTGACTTCTTTAAATATCAGAACTAATGAGATTGGAGATACAGGAGCAACAGCTTTGGCAAATGCTCTAGAATCAAATTCTTCTTTGACTTCTTTGGATCTTTGGTATAATCAAATTGGATATGTAGGAGCAACAGCTTTGGCAAAGGCTCTACAATCAAATTCTTCTCTGACTTTTTTAAATCTTAGGGCTAATCAGATTGGAGATACAGGAGCAAAAGCTTTAGCAAAGGCTCTAAAATCGAATTCTTCTCTAACCATCTTGAATCTTAGTGATAATGAGATTGGAGAAACAGGAGCAGCATACTTAGCAATGGCTCTAAAATCAAAGTCTTCTCTGAATTCTTTAAATCTCAAATATAATCAGATTGGAAAAACAGGAGCAGCATGTTTGACAAAAGTTCTAGAATCAAATTCTTCTCTAAAATCTTTAAATCTCAGATCTAATGATATCAGAGATACAGGAGCAACAGATTTGGCAAATGCTCTAAAATTAAATTCTTCTCTGACTTCTTTAAATCTCAAGTATAATGAAATTGGAGATATAGGAGCAGCAGCCTTGGCAACAGCTCTAGAATCAAATTTATTTCTGACTTCTTTAAATCTCAAGTATAATGAAATTGGAGATATAGGAGCAGCAGCCTTGGCAACAGCTCTAGAATCAAATTTATTTCTGACCTTTTTAAATCTTAGTGATAATGAAATTGGAAAAACAGGAGCAACAGCTTTGGCAACAGCTTTAAAATCAAATTCTTCTCTGACTTCTTTAAATCTTAGTGATAATGAAATTGGAAAAACAGGAGCAGCAGCTTTGGCAGCAGCTTTAGAATCAAATTCTTCTCTGGTTTCTTTAAATCTTAGTGATAATGAAATTGGAAAAACAGGAGCAGCAGCTTTGGCAAAAGCTCTGGAATCAAATTCTTCTCTGGCTTCTTTAAACCTTAGTGGCAATGAGATTGGAGAAACAGGAGCAGTAGCTTTGGCAAAAGCTCTGGAATCAAATTCTTCTCTGACTTCTTTGAATCTCAGAGCTAATGAGATTGGAGACATTATAACTAATACAGGAGCAACAGCTTTGGCAAAAGCTCTAGAATTAAATTCTTCTCTGACTGAGTTAAATCTTAGTGATAATGACGTTGATGATACAGGAGCAGCAGCTTTGGCAAAGGCTCTAGAATTGAATTATTGTTTGACTTCTTTGAATCTTAGTGACAATGAGATTAAGGGAAGAGGAGCAGCAGCTTTGGCAAAGGCTTTAGAATTGAATTCTTCTCTGACTTCTTTAAATATTAATACAAATCAAATTAGAGATACTGGAGCAACAGCTTTGGCAACAGCTCTGCAATCAAATTCTTCTTTGACTCTGTTGAATCTTAGTATTAGTGATAATGAGATTAAAGAAACAGGAGCAACAGCTTTGGCAAATGTAAAATGCTCTAGAATCAAATTCTTCTTTGACCTCTCTGAATCTTTGGTATAATCAAATTGGATATGTAGGAGCAACAGCTTTGGCAAAGGCTCTGCAATCAAATTCTTCTCTGACTTCTTTAAATCTTAGGGCTAATAATATTGGAGATACAGGAGCAGCAGCTTTGGCAAAAGCTCTAAAATCAAATTCTTCTCTGATTTCTTTAAATCTCAGATCTAATGACATCAGAGATACAGGAGCAGTAGCTTTGGCAAAAGCCCTAGAATTAAATTCTTCTCTGACTTCTTTAAATCTCAAATATAATGAAATTGGAGATATAGGAGCAGCAGCTTTAGCAAAGGCTCTGGAATCAATTCTAATTTTTTAAATTTTTTTGAATCTTTATAACATTTAGGTTAGAGAAACAAGAGTAGCAGTTTGACAAAGCTCTGGTATCAAATTCTTTTCTTTATTATTATGCATATAATAGTAAATTACCTGTTATAGTTAAATAATGAATCGGCTTGGAGAATTTTATCTTTGTATTCCTCAACCGCTCAAGATATGGGCCGAAAATCAAGGTCCTACACAATCAGATGCAGTGATTGCTCTAGATCCAGGTGTACGGACATTTATAACTGGATACGATCCAAGTGGACAAGCTGTAGAATGGGGCAAAAATGATATTAGTAGAATTTATATCGGCTTTCTCAGATATATGACAAGATTCAAAGCAAACATGACTCTATTCCTGGAAAAGTACACAAAGAAAACGCGCGTTTGGAATGCTCAGCATGATGAAAAAGGAGATTAAAGATGCGGTCAGCCCACCTGATAATGTGAGTGATTACAGTTACTTCATGATTCATTCCCTAATATAATTGCACAGTTACTAATGTTAAACGTCTCATTCAATCCAGAAATTGAGCAGGCTAGATAATCGGGTCTATGCACTTGCTGTAGACATGGCTTGTGTGAAGACGCACCTTGGACTAACTGAACTGAAACAGGATTCTCCCGCTTCTCCCGCTTCTCCCGTTTCTTCTCTCAAACCAAAGGCCAAGTAAAGACTCTATCTTTAATCACAAAACCTAAGTTTAAATCAATCATAATGGTTTAGTTTAAAAGTACTGACAACAGAATATTGATATTGGGGACAGATTGTGTTAGTATAAAAACGAAAAACTGGGTGTAGTCTGCAGGTATTACTTTGTAAATGTATGGTTCATGGCTACGAGGTAAATCAGGCAATTTATTTATAATAAAACGACTCTGGTGGTCAATTTGCATACTAATACAGTATATACATTCATATAAATAGATGTGTATCGAAAAATTCATTAGGAATGGTTTTTAAAATCACATGATTCTACTTACTTATCGCCACTATACATTTTTATTTAAGCTTTGAAAATTAAAAGTGGGAATGTTTGTCAAAAATTAGATGGACAACTTAATGCGGCGAGGAAATTAATGAATGATAGAGAATTTTAGTCTAAATATTTTATTCGTTGCTGGTATAGATTGGGCTTGGGCAAGTAATATCTTTGAATTCGTCTCTAACGAATGAGCGTATGTTATGATAAGATATTCTTGCCTTTTGTAATCCAAAGGAGGAGGAGTTAGTATTAGGATGGAAAAGGATTTAAGTCTGGTTTTCAATAAATTAAATTCAGTAAAAGCACCATTAGCAACCAGCTGAGCTTTGACAACAACAGGTTTGGCTGCTTCAAATACAAAATGCTGATACTTTTGTAAACCACTAAGTTTTTTAAAGAAAATCCCCAATACAGAATTAAGATCTAAGTATTGAAAGCCTTTTCCATCGTCATAACACTGAGCTTTGTTTAATCCTGCTGTACTCGATCTTTTCACAACCTTAACAATATGATTTACGCAATCTACCGTCGTTTTGCGGTACACTTTCTTGATCAATCCAAAACTGCCATCACATTTAAATTTAGTATGTCCAGGTATCATAAAATTTAATTCGATACTTTCATAATAGCCGCAAATTACTAAATACAAATAAAATCAAATAGTAGCATTATTTTTATTTTGACCACCAGCATTATTATTATCACAAGTACGTTTTTCGCCTTTATTCAATTTCTTAATTCCATCGAATACCATGCTCAGCGTACCATTAGGGCCTTTACCGATAATTTC